TATATATATATATATATATATACATTATGATTGTGATCTCCCGGTTGCCATTAAACCCAATTTTAATAGATCGATAATTTAATGATTAAATGGCTCAATAAAGATTAATTGTATATATATATTTGGAGAATAACTTTTAAAATTTCTTTATAAAGTTTTTTCCAAATATCAAAAGAGAGCCGATGATACAGAAAATGCAATAATAAATGAATAAATAAATAACAATAAAAGCAAATAACAAGAAATTATAGTAGAACATGTTCTTGCACATAAAATACTACACTTACACACATGTAATGCATTCACATTATTTTGGCACATGTGATCGACCGACAATTTACATATATTTTGCGGTTTTTTTTCTTATTTATTTTCTCATTTTTCCTTTTTGCTTTTTATTTATTTATTTATTTATTTATTATTCTCTGTTCTTTTTTTTTTTTTTTTTTTTTTTTATTCCTTTTTAAATAAAACAGAAGCATTGCGCTCAAGTGTAAGTTTATAATAAATAGTAAGAGAATGCAATTTTGTCCAAAAGCTGGTTCAAGTTAACTATGAGAATCGCGCTTGGTAAGAGACTTTTGTCCTGTTAGGGCAGTAGGCGTACTTTCAAACAAGAAATATTGAATATTAGGCCTAACTAATATGTATATATATATATATATATATATATATAATATCCCAATACTCCAATCTTTTTTTTTTTTTCAATTATCCCTTCATGCGATTATAGTTAGAGACGGAGGGAACGAAGCAAGGAATATGGTTTCTGTAAGTTTCAGTTGGAAGTACATTGTTATAACGGTAGAGGCTTGAATTGCGGATAAATTTATTTAAGGATTAACCCAATCACGCATATAATCTCAACTTAAGCAAGACATACGCAAATTGCAACGATATTTGATATTTAATTTCAAAACCGATTCTATACGCGTTTAAGATGCATTTCCAAGTTTCCTGACAGCTAGCCGGGAAGATATCGTTATACGGTAAAAGTGTCAGCATTCACGGCTGTAGCTGTAGATTGTCGACAGCAGGTTCAGATCGACTATCCAGAATTTAAATTCCCCTACCACACATTTCGAGGCAAAGAAATGCAAATTTCATTATTCTACGAAACTCTTCGTCCGTTTATCATCGGATGTCTGCAGAGTGGCTCCCTGCCGCGGAGTTACCAAATGCCATTTAACGTCCGAGAGGTGCTAGATGAAAACATGTAACACCTCCATTTGGACTAATTAAATACTCGGCTTTTGTTTCCGCCATCATGTCATGCCTCTCAACACATTGCTAAACGTTGCATTTCTCATCAATTGAAATAAAAGACAGTGCATTTAACATTCAATGTAGCGCATTGGTGCGAAGCGAAAAGCGAGCCAACTTTTTAGTGCAAAAGATCAAGCAAATCGGATATTCAACTGATGTTTCAATCATACCTCACCCCGGAACAGATTCAAAAGTCCGAATTGATAAAGAATGTAACTATTAGGCGCCACACAAATTATGTACACTTTACGGCATTTTCAATACATACGTACTTGTCATTGAACCGGCAAGTCGTCAGGTTTATAGATATGCAAAAAAACTTCCGGGAACCAGCCTCTGCCTGATTGTATCATTTTGGGCATAAATCAGTGCAAAATTCAAATACTTAAACTTAAATATTGACAAATAAACGGTAAGCGTTGTCCTGCAACATTGCAGGATGCAAAACTTGACTATGCTAGCATAGCACGATCACCGTTCGAAATATGCAAGTTAAAATAATGATATCGTGATCTAGGATACTAGACTTAAAAGGCAAGGCGGACATCATTACTGTAGATTATCGGACACCCACTTGATAAGAAAGATGAAGGTTAACTGAAACATTTGCTATATTCCGAATATTCCGAACGATGTAAGCCAATGTGTCCCTCTATTCGTTCGCTTATTGAATATGTTTTTTAATAAAATTTACTACAATGCCATGTGTTGGATCACTTTTCCGACCCCTCTGCATATAAAGCTCCATTTTGAAAAGAAGGCAATGCATAAAAGTCGGCCTTCATATTTTGACTTTTCTCAATCCTGTTCCTTTGCGGGCATTTTAAATTCTTGCACGCAGATTGACTTAGAAACTGGTAGTCGAATGCGTTAAACTGGCGCGTCTGCAGTGCGGTATAAAGCTCAAAACCAATATCAAAAGAAAAAAAAAAGAAATGAATGAATGCTTCAATCGTCAGTCGTAAACTACAACAAATGAAACAATGTCGCATATACTTTTTCAATGATGTATGTCTTGTAGATGAAAATGAAAAACTGACCACGCCTACTCAATATTATAAAATATCAAATTAGATTCATTTAACAATAAAAATATTCGGGCATCTCTCCTTTGGTCTTCTTTTATTACTATCATTGTCCGTGCACAGAATTGCAACTGAGTTGTGGCAGTGGTTCTCCATGAAATATTATTGCATGAAACCTGAGACTAGTGCCTGAACCTTGAAGAATGTATTCATCGACGGCACATATGAAATGCAATTATGTGCGTATATTTTCAAGATGGAAAGGCAAAAGAACATATATTTTCGATTGTTGCGGAAGTAGTTAAGGTTCTCAGTCGACGTGGATCGTCACTTCACGATTGCATATAGGGAATATAATCTCAAAATAATGGCTAATTAACTGCCATTGGATACCTACGATATATTGAGATGGTAAAGAAACTTGATCTTCGGACCTGGATAATGTGTCTTAGTTATGGAAATATACGCAAATGTTTGGCTTTTTTACTTCAAGAAATAATTCTAATAATAAATGCCCTTAGGACAGGTGGAACGATGAGTTTGAATAAAATTTTGCCGCTTTCACTTTGTTTATGTGTAGGCGGTAAGTTGTTAAGCACAGGTGCTTACCTGATAGTATATATTTGCACTTTTCGCTTAATATAATAGCACTCATACGCTCTGTCTGATTTGAATAAATATTTCTTATATTTCTTATGAAGAGAACTTTGCGTACATGTTACAAAAGGAATAAGGAACTTAGAAAACCATAAAGATGATGTTTGCGAGAACGATTTGAATAAAAACTGTATATATAATCTTAGTAACGATGCTTGAATAGCTACTATTCCATATATATATATATATATATATATATATATATATATATATATATATATACGAACACAACCAAAACTCATAATGATGACCTTTTTTGATGAACTGTAATACCGCATTATTTTTTTCTTTCAAATATGACTGAGTTCTTGATACCAAGCATTTAAAATAAAAAAAATAAATAAAAATAAAAAAAAAAAGTAAAAAGTTTTAAAGCTAATCTCTACTGCTATTATAAACTGTACTTAGCTACATAAAAATTATTCACATAAATACCTAAACATAAACACATGAACATATACTAGTTTGTTCTATTTTTCAGTTTTATTTATTTATTTTCTTTTTTTTTTTTTTTTTTTTTTTTTTTTTTTCATTTTAAGTTTTCAAAACGATATGTTTGAAAGAAATATATATTAATGGGTATTTATACGAAATTTCATTGCGTAGAAGTAAAGAAAACGTTGTTGCTCAAATAATTTTTATACTCTTCATACCATGCACACATGCATACACGCAAACATGCATATACATGCAAACAATTATAATGTTTTTCTATAATTATTTCTTGTTATTTTGCTATATAATATGTAAGTTGTGTTTTATGGTTTGTGTTTCTATACTTCTTAATTATTTAAAAATCTATACACATACATATATATATATATATATATATATATATATATATATACACACACACACCCATATATATACACATATCTATCTATATATATATAGGTCTATATATATATATATATATGTATACATATATAGATATTTATTTATAATACATTAAAAAATCGAGGTTAAAAAGGTTAACTTCTAAATATTAATACATTTTTGTTTGGTTGTTCATTGGTTTTATTTTGCTTTTATATTGTTATTGTTTTGCAGGCATGCACCAATCATGCAAACACCTTTAACAACGCATTCATGTCTAAGCCTATATAGTAACTGAATTGTGAGATAGATAGATAAACAGAGAGAAAGAGAGAGAGAGAGAGAGAGCGGCATAGAGGATAAAAGAGATGAGTCTCTCACATGATAAGCAAAAAACACATCGCCTACCCGTTACCGTCAAACAAGAGTACGTTTTATTTTTTGCTGCCATATGTGTGTTCTTTACGAAAGAGAAAAAGAGACAAATAAAGCAAAGCAAGAGCGTGGAAAAGTTGATTATTATCACCGTATAATATCTCCAATGCCACTGTGTTATGTAGAAAAAGAAGAAGACGGACAACCTAAAAGCAGCGAGAGAGAGAGAGAGAGAGAGAGAGAGAGAGAGCAAAAGAGAGCAGTCGGAGAATCGAGAATTTTTTGCATTTGAAAGGGAAAGAAAGTATTGAAAACAGAGAGAAAAAAAATAAACAAATAATTAAAGATAAATGTGCAATAACGGTCACTTAAGAGAGGAGAGACAATTCGAAATGGTGAGTGAATCTGTCTTAATAATAAATAGTTTTAAATGTTAATAAACGCATTACTTCCAATTGTTAGTGCAGATAACCTTGAATTAATTATATGTATTTTGAATGTGAATTTTGTAAACTGCATTACTATTTTTACCTTTTCATTAATTTTCCTTGCAAAATGCAAAATGCAAAATGAAAAAGTAATAACAATCAAGTTAAAACTAATAGTTTAGTCTTATGACGATGCTTTCTATTCCAATTATTACTAAACTAATGAATACATACATTTGATATACATTTCTATTAATACAACCCGTACGTAGAATCACCAACTAACCAACACAGATTAATATCCCCGTATGCAAGTATGTAAAGACAAACATAAAGCAAAAAAAAGAAGAAAAAAAACGATATTAAACTATATTACGAGTGCATCTACTCATCACTCAAAGAGCTACCAGAGATTCAACGAAAAAAAACAAAAAAAACAAAAAAAAAAACACAAAGATATGCAGATATATTGTAAGTAAATTTGTAGAAATACGCGCATCTATGAAATACAAAGAGTAATACATTAAAACGAGTCATCCATGCATGCACAGTGCAAGTCATAGTCACACCATCGCAGTAGTTGTAATCGTCAGATTTAGCTACAGATCTTCAGCTACGCACTTACATACTCTTGTACGCTCTTCCACATAATCACACATAAGGGTATGTGCTTACATACATGTGCATAGACAATAATTTCAGATCGGAAAAATTATAAACGTTTTTCATACACACACACACACACACACACACACAGCCAGTCAGTCACTTAGTCAATATGAAATAAAATTGTACTAAAAATATTTTTACATACTTCTCTTTATTTCGTTTCGGTGTTTGGTGCTCGTTGCTCAAACACACGGAAAACGTTAATAACGTTCTTTTTGGGAAAATATATTTGAGGGGGGATGACGCTAGATGTTTCTCTATTTTTTTTTATTTCTTTTTTTCTTTTTGTTTCAATTTTCAAAAAAAAAAAAACAAACATTCGTTTTTACATTTTACTTATTTTAAAAAATTATCAAAAAAAAAGTTACTTAGTTTCAAATATAATTTGATTTCTAACCTGCAAAAAAAAAAAAGAGAAAGAAAAAAAAAACATTTGAATAGCATTGAAATGAATATACGCCATAATTTAGTAAGAATTTACATGTATTTACTTATTTACATTCCTATATGTATTCTATATATATATATATATATATATATATATATATATATTCTCATATAGCGTGGTTAAAGTGATATATAATGTACAGAATAGACACACACACACACACACACACGATCAAACACAAACGCAGACATAAATGACCCCCTTAAACTTAATACTTCCCTTTTTGAATATAGATACGTGTACAAGTGTATGTACATAACTTCATGGCAAGAATATAATCAAATACACGGCAATAGTTTTTGTAAAGATTATAAAAATATTAGAAATACTTTGAATAGATTTATTTTTAGATTTTACACTTCAACATAACCAAAGAGAGAGAAGGACAGGGACAGGATGACAGCGAAGTAATAACATGTTGCAAGCTATTATTATGCGTCGAGTATGTAAATGTGTTGAAAATAACTAGCATAGATTATGTGTTGTTGCCTTCGGTTCGAGCAATATTCAAAAAGACTGAATGCACTTTCCTCAATCCATTTTCGAATATCAGGGCAGAGAAATAGAATAGATCCACCAATTTGATAGCCCACATTGATCACTTTGCAAAAAAAACTTTTATCTATAACTCGTCCATCCTTCCACGTCTAGCGAGAGAACTGATCAATCCATAACTTATTGCCTGAGTGTGTTATTTAGCTTCAGTTGTACGCATATCCTAAGCAATTTCTGATGAGGGACAACTAAAAGCGACCCAAAGTTGTTGTGTTTACTTTTGGCTGATTTTGCAGGCAAAGTGGACAGAAACGTCGCAAAGCATTTAAAGGTCTCATTGAGGCCTTTGCAATGGTCTCCCTCTCCGGAAGCCGAATCAAGCCCTGAATGACAATTGACTGATTGAACCGGAGAACACGTTCAAGATTGATATTTATGCAATGAATCTTTGCATAACAAGTTTGATCACAAACACACTTGAACACACTTTCGCTTGTCTTGTTTATCCCTTCTTGCACAGCGACTATCTTCCTCCGAGTTTATAATGCTCTGTCGCCTTTTCGATTCATTTTAAAATATATTCTAGCTGACGTTGTATAATAAGGAGGAGAGGGAAATTCAAAAGCCTTGCCCCTTACATGTCTCTGAGAAATGTTTTGACGACTAAACGTTAAGCGTTAACATAAGTACGTTTTCTTCACATAGAACGCAATTTCGAAGAAAAGCATGCAATCATGTTAAGCCGGGCGGAAAATATTTGAGAGCGAGTATTTATTACTCGGTTACGATAGGTTGAGAAGAATTGCATAAATAACTTCTAGACAATTTGAAAGACGGCTCAGAAACTGTCATGCAATTGCAATGTGGGCTTGCCGATCCTTCGCCATCGAAAGCACGCTTGTACGCGCACGTCTTTTTCACAAAAGTTCGCTGACGAAAGAAAAAAAAAAATATCAAAATCAACCGATTTTATTATTTATTTATTTATTTATTTATTTTTTTTTATTCATATATAGAAGGCGGAAATGAATCTGTCGCTCAAGCGAACTACTTGCTAAAATTGCACATTGCATGATCAGGCGGCATTTCAAAATTCACCGTCAATCCTCTCAATTATTGTTTTAACCTTTAACTTATCTCTCATCGGGGTTGTGTTCGGGCCTGCCGAACTTAATGCATCTCTCTTAATATCTCTGCAAAAATATAGTATTTACCGCTATTTACTCGTATTATTTATCGATATTATTGAAAAGTTTCGTTTGATTTTGATTGCAGGATAATAAGACACCCACCAGTGTTTATCATCATCATCGGGCACCACGCACGCCAGAAAGCTATTTCAATGTGCCCGAATCGATAGCTCTGCTGAATATTGTGAAATCAGAGCGAATACAAAATGCCTTTCAATCGAATCGCAAAAATCACGCCAGTGTTTGGGAGATGGTAGCCGAAGTACTTAATCGTTACAGCGCCCGGAAAAGATCGGCCAAGCAATGCTGCAATCGTTACGAGAATTTGAAAAAAATTTACACACAATTGAAAAAGAATCCCGAGAGACATGTGCGCAGAAACTGGCCGTATATGTTCCTATTTAAAGAAATCGAGGAACAGCGAGGCGAATCGTGGGGATCAAATAGCAAACGTTTGGCCTTAATTAATAAAAACCACAATGAATTATCATATTATCATCGGCGAAGACAGGCAGCTGAATTTGGCGCTCTAGTGCTGGACAAGCAAACACAAGCAGCAGTTGTCGCGCAACAGAATTTATTGCAGACTCTAGCAGCCCAATCGAATGACTCCAATTCTAATGCTAGTAAAACGTTGGAACGCTTTCTGCCCAATCATTTCGTTGAGGCTCAGTTAGGCTGTTCAGACACTGGCGGAGGCGGCGGAGGCGGCGGAGTCGGCGGCGGAGGTGGAAGTGGAGGAAGCGGTGAGGGCAATAGCAATGTTATGGGTAACGGCGGAGTGAGTGAGAATATTAGAAGTACTGCAGTAGATTTAGCCGTGCCCGGACTTAATCCAGCTTTGTACGATGGCGCCTCACCTTTAGCTTTGCAAACAATGCGAAAGGAGCACCAACATCATCAGCATGAAATGCGCGTCACCCAGGATGACATAAATGAAATTCATAAGCATACACAACATCATAATCATCATAATTTACTGCAAGCTCATGCAAGTGGTTTAATAACTAACGGGGTTAATTCACCGAAAGACGCCTTACCGACAGAGTATGAAAAAGACTGCAACGGGGCCCTGAATCTTCAGACCAACGATAACAATATTTCGATGAAGTAAATAAAAAATTTAATTGCTCTTCACTAACGTAAAGTAAAAATGTGATAAAGTTCTCTTCTATATGATTCCAGATCGGAACCCATGTCGGAAGGTGAGTTCAATCCCGATGATATACAATTAATGCAAACGAACTATAATGGGTAAGCAGAAATAAATAAATGAATAAATAAATAAAGTGCAAAATTGTTTTGATCGAGCTTTTACACATCATTAGCATTGATACGAACATTTTACATCCTGACGTTATAGTGGACACCGACAATCTATCCGAATGTTCGTCGAATGCCTCACCTAAAAGTAAACGCAAATTATCGACATCCACCGACAGCACTAACTATGAATTGATTGAGTATTTAAAGAGGCGTGAAAAGCGCGACGAGGAGCTGTTAAGGCGTATGGATGCGCGTGAAGAGAGACTTTTGAATTTATTGGAACGAACTGTACTGGCCATAGAAGCTCTAGCTCATAAAAATTGTAATCAATTGTTCAATAATAGAAACGCGAATGAAGTCAACACTAGCAATAATAATACTTTTACAAATACAATACCAACAACAACAGCAGCAACAACAACAACAACAACAGCAGCAGCAACAATAACATCAGCATCAGCATCAGTAGCAGCAGCAGCAGCAGCAGCAGATGCAGCAATAGCAACAGCAACAACAACGATAACCGGAATAGGAAACGCTGCTCCTACCATTATTACTCCCGCTGTAATAAACAACAATGCAACGAGTTGCAATCTCAGTTATAACAACAGCTTAGCGAAAGGCTATAACGGTCTAATCGTGAGAGATCTTGATAACAAAATTAGTGAAAAACTGTAAACGAAAATTTCAAGAATAACAACAACATGACAACAACATTTAATACTCTTATATAATTATTGCAAGCCAAAGAATATATATTTTTGAAATTTTTCCAAGGAATCGAAACCAAAAACTCAGTTATGTGCTATAAAATTTACTTAATTAGTTATAAGTTGGAGTTCTTTTTTACTGTGCCGTTTCTTCTTTTTTTTTTTTTTTTATTTTTTTTATTTCTTTTTAAATTTAGATGTTTATTTATTTGTAAGTAAGTTAATGTACTTCATGTAACGTTATCAACTACTCTTCTTCTTTTTTTTTTTTTTCTTTAATATTTATATAAGTGCCTTAAAATACAAGAAAAATTACTTTTAATCACTTTAATAAGAAATAAGAATGAAATCGTACGGTTTTTCATCTTCGATACCAATGATAATGAAAAATTTCGAATATTTCGAATTCATTTCAAAATTCTCTTCACTAAACCATGCTTCGTATATGTTCCGACAAGAGTGAAGGTGTGATTCAAAATCGAATCCCGCTATGACGAGTCTATTGAATACATGATAAATCCGCAAAAATTGCAATCCGTATGTGTAACCTTCTGCTTGACATTTATTAATGTCAATGTCTTGATAGTTTCGATAGTAAGAGTTAAAGGTCATGGTGACCTAAATAGTTGAAATATTGCAACTGGGAATATTTGCACAACGGAATTACGTTAGACGTTAGACGTTAGGCGTTCAAGCACAAAATTGAAGAAGATCATCTTCTATTCTTGATTCGCTTACTTGACCAATTAACCTTTTAGCGACAAATACGATAGTTTACGAAAAGGACTTTTAAATTTTATTCAATATTCACCAAGTTCACGTGTACAAAGCAATACATCTGAGAACAATTTACTCTGTCATTACTAAGTCATATCTCTATCCTAACGGCATCGTACATAAATAAGTTTTTAAAGATCTTCTTTGAAGACCTATTACCATCTCGATCTCATATTGATCATGATATGAACATAAAGACTTTTTTATTTATTTATTTTTTTTCAAGTCACTATAACTATCTGCTTTAGATAAGCATTTGCTTCAAGTCCAGTTCTTTCCATGTAATCATGTACAGGGAATCGCTGAAAATGTTGGAAAGGATTAAGGAGTAAGAATGCTCTACCAAAAGGACAAATAAATACGTATTAAGGGAAAATGTACCTCACTTTAATGCTTACATAAACACGAAAAAAAAAAAAAAAAAATTTAATTTAAACAAGTAAGAAAATTATATTCGGTTGTGACCGAATCTTTTATACCCATCGCCGTTATTAGGATTAAAGAAGAGAAAAACTGTATTTTCATACTCCATAATACGCAGTGAGCGTATAGCTGATTTTTTCGCATAGGTGCATGGGCGGTGTGGGGGTGTGACCTGTGGAAAGTTTATGTCCCATCCCAAATTCTTTTCGGTAACGGGACAATGCTTATCACAAATACTGCACAGTTGAACAGGGAGACAGATGAACAGATGAACAGTCGAACAGACAGACATGTTTAGGTGCATTCCAAATTTAAAAAATGGCGAACAATTTATATACTTTGTGTTTTTTTTTTTTTATAAACTTGTTTTTGCGCCTTTCAAAGGTATTGCAAAAAAAAAAAAAAAATGAAATTTCGATAGACTATAATATCGAGTAGGTGTGGCCACTTTTTTTTTAACTTTTTTTATAAAAGCGCTACATCATCACCTACACAATATGAGTTAAAGGTCTTGTAGATTTGATGGTGTCGTTTATAATTAATGAGCAAGAAACCAATTATCTATTGCTTATGAAACTTTACGTGATGCTGTGGACGGGTCCTTCGGCAAATTCGGCCCATTTCCAATGCCAATTTGCTTGCAAGAACTTTCAATGTTTTTGCGAAATTTGAAGTCGTTAGCTTTATTTCGGCGGTCAGGAGTATGTTTAAACCAGACATTACACAGACGGACACACGGATATATACAGTTTGTCAGGAATGTATGCAGTTTAGGCGGTTTCCGATGCTTCCTTCTGGGTGTTGCAAACGTTTTGACAAAATGAATATACCCCTGATCTTTCGGCGATGGGTATAAATGTTTCTATTGAAGCTCAAGATGTTATGATATACACAGAATCCTTTCACCAATATCTCGGTCTGTCCTCTTACGGAGAAATCCCTTTTAATTAAAAAAAATAAAATAAAATCCGGCGACTTTGTTTCGCGCACAAGTACCAGCGTTACGTCATCCAACGAGCCCGCTATTCCTCAAATATAATTTCGTGTGAATGTTCTTTTTCTGAAAATGTAAATTATTGCCTTGTGTAGGACAACTTGTTTAGATTGATATAATATGTTTTGGAAAACTAATACGACGGACTTGCTATCGTCGCGTAAACTAGCTATATAAAGAGAGAGAGAGAAATGCATTAAACGCTGCTAAAGTAAACCATTTTAAAAGGATATAAAATAAAAGCATGTCAATCTTAACAATGAACAAATAAATGTAATTGAAGACACAGTAATTCCAGGTGATCCCTGTATCTGAATGCTTTCCTGGTGTGTTTTATTTTTATCAAACTTAAAATTTCCTCTTTTTTTGATCTATTACGTAACAGCAACTTGACTTGAAACCCAAAAAAATTCTGTTCACTAATTCGTCCAGAATCGCAACTTAATCGAAGAAATTATATACATATAGAGTATCCGTCAATCCCTTTCGACCTATGCCATACAATGATGTGGAACAACCGATGACTGTAATGTTCAAGTACTTTAAAAATATCAATCTAATACTTCTCGTCCTATTCTTAATGTCCTGTAGCACCGTGAACAAAACAACAAGACGATTAATATAATGGCCTGAGGTCAGTTTACGGCTCCCGTTATCGAGCTGACATGATCGTGAATTTGCGTTTGGGGCCAAGCAATCGTTATCGAGAATTAAGTTGATGGTACTCAACAGCGTACGCGTGTTTAGCTCGATATCCAAAATCGTATTCGAGTTTTGAAAACAAAATAGCTCTCGATCTTCATGTTTTTTTTTATTCATTTATCTATTGAGAAAAGAAATCTACTTATCCAAGAAGAAGAATAAGCATCATTGGAGTCGCGAAGGCCATCGCAACCATTACAATGCGACAACCTATGTTGGTAATCCGATGGGTAAATATTGTTCACCTCGTTTATATCGTAAGCTGCATAAGATAACAAACTCGTGTTTATTTAATCGGCGAGCACAGCTTCTTCACGCAAAGTTGTGCGTAATGATAGGAACTACCTGACGGAATCCAGACATACATTGACGATATCACAAATACTTTGTTCTATATGCAGCGAACAGGAAACTCAACTCGATAAATAGAGTACCATCAACCTCATCAAAAAGCGATCGTAGCGCTTTTGTGTATAGCTCGACAATAAGAACCGTATACCCGCTACAGTACAGTCATTTTGCTTTTTCCCGTAATATATGTAACGATCAAAAGGAAACTTCAGAGACCCTATAAAGTATATATATTCTTGATCAGCGCGAAATTCTAAATGGATTTAGCCATGTCTGTCCGATGTGGTGTGTGTTATTGGCACTCTTCTGGCCGCAAAAATAAAAATATCAATCTCAAATTTGATAGAATTGAAAATTGGCCAAATCGGTCCGAACAGAAGCGCGCAGTGGAGCGTAAACTGAACGTGACCCCGTTTTTTTGTTAACAAAAATTTTTAGATTTTTGCTCGTTACTCGGAAATTATCAAAGTTAGAAAGCTGAAATTTTCCACATTTACTTTACGCAGCACTTTACTCCTTTCGTGCCAAAAATGAAAAATATAACCCATGCCGACACAAAGTTACAAGTGATTAAATTTTGTTTTTTTTTTGATCCCTTTCATCAAAAAATTTTATCAGACTTCGGAATCACGTAAATCCATTGGCAATATTTTTTTTTGAATGAATCCAATGAAATAAGGAGACTGGAAAAACATTATACACTGGATTTTTCAGTTACGAATTCATTTATGTCTTTTCCTTAAATTATTTTAATGAATTTTCTAAATTTATATAGATTCTTAATTATTTATTTGAATCCCATACCTGTATTGTTAGAGCGGTGTTATTGGGGGATAATAACCTTTATTATTTTCCTCACCTTGCCATTACATTCACGCATTATCTTTTTGAATACGTTGGTAATTAAACATATAGTAAGAAATAATAAAAATAAGATAATCACGCCAAGACTATCACGCTTTACATCTGGAATTTAGGTATTTCAACACAAATAATGCCATTTGCTGCTTAAGAATCGAAAACAAACAGAACGAAGAAGAAAATTTCTAGAGACGTAACCACTATTTAGAGTATGCAGTCTAATGATATGAATGAAAAAATTTTGGAATAAATAGCTTTTCATTATGGTAATATATTTCTAATTGTCACACTTTTGTTAATTATAGGCGAACGTATGGAATTTTATGGACGCCATAGTAAAACTAATGTCAAGCAAATAGACAGACAGTTACCATGCCAACTCTGAGAGTGACAGTAGGCTTAAGAAGGCAGAAAAAGTCTTCCGTTGCATTTCCAGAATTGCATAAATACCGTCTATCTGCACCAAGTCGCTATGTACTTAGTGATAAATAACAAGTACAATAACCACCACATCCATATTACAGCCCCCTTCTTTTTTTGGTACGATAACCAGCTTTTGCTAAATTTTTTTTGGCTTTTGCAATTTTAGTCTTAATTATTTGTTTCAAACGATGACGGACATCTTCATAATTTTCAGCAGTTCCATCGGGCATTTTGTCGTAATTGAAGAAATTGAAACCTTCTGCAAAATTAGATAATTAACGAACGATCTTTCGAAGCGCAATGAACTTTTGTGCACGAATTAAATCACTCACCTTTCAATCGTTTATCAGTTTTAGGTATGAAAAAGCTTTCAGTATTAATATTAACTTTGTTTTTCTTTATAGAATTCACAGTTTTCTCCGTCGTATCGTCGCCCCCTAAAGCAATACCTTCATCTCCCTCTTCTTCATCTGTTGAGGATGAATCATAATTGAATGGATTTATTTGAAATGATTTTTCTGATTTTCTATGATTAATTAGAATTTTTTCGTTGCATATTTCCTTTAAGCGAGTTTCACGTGATTCATTCACTTCGTTCCGTCCAAACATATCCAATAAGCTGAAGCCTTCACCACGCTTTTTCAGAGATTGCTGCAAACTGTCCGTAACCACGTAAAATACCTCTTTCGATACTTCTGTGGTTGGCTTTTCTTCTAGTTTCGTCACTTTTGTCTTCGTCTTTTGTAATAAATGTTCTTTCTCTTCTATTTTGGGCTCACATTTCGGCTGTTCGTCTTTAAAAGGATCATACCTTAACATTTTCTTATTTTGCTTCGTTCTATGTTGTGAATGTAAATGTTCGCTATCAATTTTTGTGCCTACAACTTGCTCTAAAATATTCATTTGCCATTTGCGTTCATCATTTGCATTATTTTCTTCTTCCTCCCCTTCGGGTGAAATGTCGTTTTCAATTTCGTTATCGTCATCCAAAAACTTGGCATCGATACGAAAGCGCGAGTCTAAACTTTGCTTAGCCTGCAATTTTACCAATTTTTCTCCTCGACTTCCAGTGGGTAATGACTTCAATTTGAAATTTTCACCCCCATCATCATCGTCGGAGCCAAAAATGTTCGTTTTCGATGCCTTCACAGACTGCTCGCCCTCTGCAATATTTTCCTCGTCACTTGCATTATCACGGAAAATAATCTTTTTGGAAATATTTCCATTTTCATCCTGGGTAAAAGCTCAATTTAAATATGGTTTTTAATTAGATTATAAATAAATTTTTACCTGTAAAGCTTGCTGTATGGTTGATTTCTTTTTTTCATAGTCATGCTTCATTTTGCTTAAAGATTCTTTACGCTTTTGTTCTGCTGTATTATCTGGTAATTGGGCCAACTTTTTCTTGCCTTTTTTATTGTCAATAATATGCAATGGTTGCACATTGCCGTTAGGTATAAAAATCTTACCATTATGAATAGAATTAATGGCACGTTTTTTGCTAATCATCAGCTCAGGAGCCACCTCATCATCGCCCAATTCATCATGTTCATCAAAGGTTTTTCGTTTATTAATTGCCGGCACCTTTAATAAAACAGATTGTTGCTCTATACTTGACAAAGTGACTGATTTTCCTTCGGCTGTTTCTTTAGCTTCTTCTCTTTCACGTTTAAGTCTTTCCAAAAAGGATTCTTTGGCTAGCGATACTTTAACCTGTTGCCCTTGCACTTTTTGCACGTTCAAATCTTTTAAGCCTAAAATTCATCTATGTTACATTTGCCCTATGTACGTCTGACATTAAACTTACAATATTGTGCTTCACTTGCAGTTATCCGAAGAGTTACAAAAGCTATGACCTTTTTTTCATTATCCAAAACATTTTCTTTACTTTTAACTTCAATATTTTCTATTTCACCATAATCTTGAAATAATTGTCGTAAATGTTTTTCTTTGGTATTAACAGGCAAATTAGCCACAAAAAATCGTGAAGTTGTCATAATTAAACTTTCATTAATTTCTTAAAAACTATTTAAACTACTTTACTATATCTTACACGTGTTTTCTAAATTGTTTATAGATATCGTATCATTTCATTTGATATTAGCCGCATAAACAGAGTTGTCACTCCATAACCGTAAACAAACTGTAAATACGGAACATATGTAAACAATAGATTTTGGCAGAAAAAGAAACTAAATTATAAAACATTGCTAAAGATGTGCATTATTAAGAAATTAATAAAAACAGATATGGATTAAAAATGTAATCAAGATTAAATGAGAACAGGGACGGTGTTTTAATTTTAATATCGAAACACAAAATCATAACTTATTTTATTTAAGAGGACGCAATAATTAATTGTTAAATAAAATGTGTTTATTAGATACTAAATAAAGTTCGCACTCTAGTTGCCATAGTTTTAATTTATTATTTTCAAAGATTGATCTCACATAAAATTAATTATATGACCCGATAGTCTGTGTTGCTAGTGCTCAATGTCTTTTTTTTTTTAGTCTAAGAATTTATTTCATTAGTCTAAAATTATAATACTAACAATAACAATAATAATAATAATAATAAAATTAATTATATTAAATATAAAAATTTCCTTACGTATTAATAAATTAATTTCTATACAAATCAGAAATTTTTTCTCATATAACATTTTTTATTGTGGAGATATTTACTTACCTATTTACTCGCACATTGCCGTCATAAAATATCTACTTGCAGGTGCATTTAAACTAAGGTGAAAAAATCAAATGAATTTCTCTCGCTCAGAAAAAGATGCATATAATTTACTTATGTGCATCAAATATATGATATATATGTATCTATAAGTACTATCGAATAGAACACTTCAATTATACCGAATCAGTTTTAAATGTGGCAACTTTATTATGACTTTAAGAAAACTTTCGTTTAATTTTTTCTTGCTCTTGTAATTTCCCTCTTCTTCTTCTCCTTTACTGTAACTCGTCAAAATTTACACGGTCTTTCGTTAAATTGTGTTTTTTCGCCTATAAAAGAAAAGTGACGAATTAATTTTTTTCAATTTATAAAAAATTTTCATTGGAAAAAATTTATTTCTTTTAATCAAAAGACAGAAATATAAAAGAGTAAAATTTAGGCGAGAGAAATTCGTATTAAAACCTATAAGAAGAAAATTTTACGAAGCAGTACCACCAATAGAAACAAGGAAAGCCCGAGAAGAAAAAACATGGCAGAAGGTGGAAATAATAGAATATTGGTGAATGTAAAAACACCAAAAGATAAGAAAATTATCGAAGTAGACGAGGATTCCACAATTAAGGATGTAAGTAATTTATTGAAATAATATTATGAAATACCGATCGGTTTCCAGTCTTTACTTATTGCAACGGCAATGAGAAATGGAAGGTAATGCGTTGCACGGCGTGCTTATATATGCATGTATGTATGTATAGTGATATTGTGAAACTCTAAATTTTATATTGACAAAGTACAGTATGCTTTGTTAACCTTTTGATCGAGTAGTCTTTTTAATGGTTTTAACGGAGTACGGAACACCATCGGAAACCATTGCAATAAATATCAATATATTGTTTTTGTAGTAAACACATACAATGTTTGTTTTGCATTTTATATTAGTTTTGTATTTGTATGTGCAAGAAATTTAGTCATTCGCACATCATATATATACATAAATATATATATATATATATATATAAAATAGGGTTGTGTGAAGTGACGTGTTCTTAGAATTTTTTTCTAGATTTGTACGTCTTGGGTGTTTCATATTTTTTATGTTTTGCTTTACGTTTTCTTACAGTTTAAAGCTTTGGTTGCGGAAAAATTCGAAGCCGATATTGAGCAATTGGTATTGATTTTTGCTGGCAAAATCATGAAAGACACAGATACGTTAAAAACGCACAATATTAAAGATGGCTTGACGGTCCACTTGGTTATTAAAACAAAAAGTCGTAGCGCAGACGCACCGCAACGTCCGCCGGCTGATGTACGGCAAACACCGTTTGGTCTTAATACTTTAGGCGGTTTGTCCGGCGTGGAAGCCTTGGGGGCCGGTTCCGGAAGTTTTATGGACTTGCAAGCTCGTATGCAAAGTGAATTATTGAATAATGGCGATTTGTTGCGTACCATGTTGGATAATCCATTGGTTCAACAAATGATGAATAATCCGGATGTTATGCGTCAATTGATTACGTCGAATCCTCAAATGCAGGATTTAATGCAGCGTAATCCTGAGATATCGCATATGTTAAATAACCCAGAATTGTTACGTCAAACTGTGGAATTGGCGCGTAATCCGTCGATGTTGCAAGAGCTAATGCGTTCGCACGATCGCGCCCTATCGAATTTAGAAAGTGTACCGGGTGGTTATAATGCTTTACAGCGCATCTATCGCGATATACAAGAACCGATGCTAAACGCTGCTTCAGAATCATTTACACGTAATCCATTCTCCGGTCTTGTGGATAGCAATTCAAGTGGTAAGTAAGAGTCAAGAGTGCTCTGTGACATAACAAACTCGTGTGCTATATGATTTTGAATGTATGGTGTTCTAGGCACTAATCCCCAACAGGGTACTGAAAATCGCGAGCCATTACCCAATCCGTGGGGCGGCCGCGGCAATACCACCGGTGGTGGTGCTAGTGCTTCTGGCGGTGCTAATCCTGATTTGCCACCACGTGGCATTTTAAATACGCCTGCTATGCAAAGTTTAATGCAGCAAATGGCCGAAAATCCTACGCTTATGCAAAATCTTTTAAATGCTCCATATACGCGACCCATGATGGAGGCCATGTCCCAAGATCCGGATATGGCGTCGCGCCTGCTTAGCACAAGTCCTATGTTGGCTAATAACCCGCAATTGCAAGATCAGGTGCGTCAAATGATGCCTCAGTTTATGGCTCAAATGCAAAACCCCGAAGTGATGAATATGTTAACTAATCCGGAAGCCATAAATGCCATTATGCAAATACAACAAGGTATGGAACAATTGCGATCAGCAGCTCCAGGTTTGGTAGGTTCATTAGGTGTACCTCCCCCACCAGTCGGCAATACTAATGTGGACACTAATACAACAAATACTAACACTATGACAAATACGGGAGGTAGCGGTACTAATCCAACTACTGCCCCAGGCGGAGGTCCTAATGCTCAGTTATTCAATGATTTCATGACACGCATGCTGAATGGCATGACCATTACAGCGGATAACACACAACCGCCTGAAGTGCGTTATCAGTCACAATTGGAACAATTGGCCGCAATGGGTTTTGGTAATCGCGAAGCTAATTTGCAGGGTACGTACACTGTACTTATATATTTATTTTAATTTAATATACTTAAAAATTTATTTACAGCCTTAATTGCCACTTTTGGTGACATAAATGCCGCGGTCGAACGATTACTATCTTTAAATCAGTTATCTTTAAGTTAACGTTCTTAAACTACTTAACGTGATACGGTTCCGGTTGGGAGAGTATGTGTGTGTGCGTAAATAGCCTTTTCCTACACCATCCGTGGATATCTTCATTTTCCTATTTTGTAAAGAGGACACATACAGAAAAAAAAAAAAAAAAAAAATACAAAAAAAAGAAAAAAAATACAAAAAAAATTGTGCTGAAATTTTCTATATTCGGCCTGGCATAAGGTAACTATGGCAACAGCAAAAACAACAATATTACGAGAAATATACATACATACACATATATAAATACGAAACTAATAATAAAATCATAATACCGTAAATAATAAAAGAATCCAAAAAGATCAAATTTTTAGTTAAAAAAAAAAGAAAGAAAGAAATAACTTTAAATCATAAAAAAGAAAGGAAAAAAAATCCAAGATTATTTTAGTGTTCTAATTTTTGGTAATTATTAGCGGGAAAATTGAGTAAAGTACAGCAAAATCAATGAGAGAAAAAAAAGCTCTTTGAAACAACATTAATATTTCCAAATATATATTTTTTTTTTTTTCGATTAATATTAAAACACGCTGTAAGAAACAGTCACATACCGTAAATTGATATAATATCGTAAATTTGTGCGTAAAATCGTTTTATCATCAATAAACTTTGACAAATAATTGTATTTGAAACATACCGTTAATGATATTGATTAAAAGCGTGGAGTCATGTCAAAGCAGTAAACGATTTACTAAATAATTTCTTTTACTGTCAGCCAATCAAACTGTTTTGACTTACCTCACAGCTTAATGTAGTCAGAGAAGATTGTAATCCAAAAAATAATAATAATAATAATAATAATAAAAAAAAAAAAAAAGAAAGACTTTGTCCAAAGCTACTTCTCACTTTACTACTATTATTGAAGAACAATGATAAACTTCTCTGCAGTGTATCGCAATTCCACTAACTATTTAAGACTTTTTATTTTTAATTTTTTTGTTTCTTCGTTTCCTAATTAAGATAAAAAACTATATTTTTGCAAATCTAAAACATTAAAAGCTCACCTTTTTTTTTTTTTTTTTTTTTTTTTATTTTTAAAAAAAAAAAAGAAAAAAAAAAAAAGATAATTTAATCTTCACACATACATACATACATACATACATAAAAGGTTCGAGTGCATGCATCAAAAGTAAATAGTGTATAAAATATATTGCAACAAAAATAACAACAATAAACGTATTTAGTAAACCTATTAAAAGAAGAAGAAAAAAAAAAACAAAAAAAAAAAAGATAAATAAATAAAGAATTTCTTATATATCGCATAAATATATAAATGGTGTGACACGTATGTTTTGAAAAAATTAAAATTTGTAATAGTGAAATATAAGTATCGTATGAAAAGAAAAACATTTAAAATAAAGTTTAATTTTAAAGTTGATTCGCCTTTCAATTGGTGAGAAAGCAAATTGAAAACAAAATATATATTAAAGGAAATTCTCTTTCAGTTCAGCAAATCTTAATAGCGCGCGCCACGTGTCCCCGTGGCGTATCACATATACATATTCTGCGAAGTAAGTGTAAGATTTGCACGATGTTCGGTTATCATGTCGTTGGAATCATGTCGTGGAACAAAATCGCAACAATTTAAATAGAAATTTGAAGACGCTGCTTGATGAACGCTGCCACGTCCTATCATATCTGCGCATGTACAACACAACAAACTTTTATTTGTTACCTTCGCGACAGGAGACGCGTAAATACTTATTATTAATTTCATTAGCAAATCTTTAATGCTCATCGATAATTCTAGTTTGTGTTCAAGAACTTTTTTTTATATTATGATTATTATCATAACAATTAATTAACACTATTTACATACAATTTGCATTAGTATGTTACAAAAATTCACATTCTGTTCTGGAGAGTACTCGTTAGCACTTAAAAGTGACAAATAAATTTAAAAAAAAAAAAAAATATATATATATATATATATATATATATAAGTAAATGAAGGAAAAAAATGTAGCAACCTTTTTGGAAAACAAAAAATCATATTTACAATAATTTTCTTTATGTAAAACCTTCCTTGGTCGTCATCTCTTGTAGACTGTACATTTCATTTTCTTGCCAATTGTGAAGCTTTTGCGCTTATAGACCGATTAAATTCATTTTTGCGTAGAATATTTATGCATTTCGGGTTTTAAACGTTTCTCGTTTAATGCTTACATTCACTGACTGCAATCTGACTACAAATGTTCGAACTTGTGTGCGACATGCATATATCATTTATTCGTTCTTCCAGTGCGGCATCAACGCCATTCCCAATGTCTTTAGTTGCATCTTAGCAAAAAGTATTGAAGGTAAAGCTTCTAAGATGTTCACTTTCACATCTACATGCATTTTTTAATTATTCGATCGCAGAAATATTAATCAATTGCAAGGACATTATGCTTTATTTGAAGACGGGCATGGAGACTTTTTTTTGCAATTACGGTCAAAAAGTTGCTACTTGATAACTATGTGTTTTTAAAATGTTTGCAAAAAATTTGGGTTCACTTCGTCCTTGGGCTCCTGATGGCATATAAAAAAGAAAAGAATGAAAAAAGACCAATTGAAAGAAAATTAAGAAATATATTAGTAATAGATTCAATTAACGGTTGTCTTAACAACAACAACAACAACAACAACAACAAAAAATGAATTATCTTCAGCTGAGTTCGAATTTTTCGAATACGTCGCAGTGGGCAAACATAAATGGTTTTTGATGCTTCTTTTTTTGCTTGATCGTGGGCGTGCCTTTTCGACTTTTTGTTGATAAACAGATAACCTTTGCTGCTTCGCTGTTATAGTTTGCGTTCACGTTATTGAAATAATATTAATTTTTGTCTTTTTTTTTCTTAAGGATTGCGAAAGGCGTCAATTTACAAATTTACTAACTCTAAACTATTCATTCAAAGCTCAATTGAGCTTCACTGAGGCTTTCAGTTAAGTCATTACTAATTCGAACCGAAAAGCCCTGTTTCGTTCTGATTTATGTGAAATCGTAAGACTATATAATCTAAGTTAATTTTTGATATTTGTTTCTCATTGCTTTCACAACAAGTCTTGCAAACTGGTGTTAAGTGTTCTGAAGAAATTTAACAGTCCGACTTCTTCGCAACCTCAGCTATGATAAGTTATTTTCTCAATAGTCTTGTTCCGAGCACGCCTTGGCTATATGAAGAAAGCCGGGGAAAGTTGGTATATCTTAACTGAGGCAATTCAATCTGATTCAGTTGTCTTACCCTTACCTTCAATACACCGCAGTTCCTACATCTGAAAATAATACGAGCACAGGAAGAGAAATCTTGTGTTACTCACTTGTCGACCCGTTGTCGTTGAATACGAGTAAATCTTTTTTTTTTTTTTTCTTTTGTCATCCGCCGAATGCCCAAGTAGGCAAGAGTCTCGACTACCAACTCAATGGACGTGAGTTCAAATCTCAAGTGCGGTAGAGTTTTTAATAATCCATAAGACACTGCTTCCTTTCTTGTCACCGAAAACTTGCGGGTCTAAATAATTTCATTTCGCCAGATGTCAGATAAAAAAAATTCAGTTTTCCTCTGTTTTTTTCCAAGCAAAATCATCTCAATTGTTTAATGATAAATGATTGATGAATAAACTTGAACTTAAATAACTCTCATATATGATGGCATCTAGAACAAAATGGACCCATGTGCAAGTGAGGAAAGAGAAGAAGTTAAAGGGGTAACCGCAGCCCGAGCGGGTGTGTGCTTAATCGATGAGTGTTACGTCTTTACCTTACCAGCAATTGAGCATGACAGAAGTGAACTCTACCGTACTTAAGATTTTAATCTGGAAAGACTAGCTTGCGCGAGTTTCTTATCCACTTGACTTCACGTATGGATAAATTGTTGATTGCATTCTACTGGACGCGGTGTCGGACATCCTAGCCACTAAATTATGCGTTATGAGTAACGATTAGATTCGCGACCAATGCGATGTATCGTGATACACAATGTTCCTGCCTTTTTTCTTAAAAATGTAGCTCACTATTTCCTGATCACGATTCGGCTCAGAAAATCAATTGTATTGTTTATTAGTGAGATACTCCCCATTTATGAAAGCATGATATCGACATAGCAAAAACAATTATGACTTAAAAATACTACGTGAAAATCTGAAGTAGTGCGTATCTGAAGTCTCACAAGTTGCCCGCTTCCCTTGCCTTCTTTTGCGTAAAAGAAAAAGTAAAAACGCAATCTGCGTGCAAGAACTTCTAAAGCTTCAGAAGAGTGGTTACAACAGGTATTACGCAAACTTAACACACACGTACCGACGAACATGCTTAAATCGATGCAAAATTTAATGCTATATGTATATATTTACATATATTGTGTGATTCCTGAAGCTTTCTTTTGGGTGTTGCAACCATTCTGACAAAATAAATATACCGCACATCCGGCGGCGATGGGTATAAGAATCAGCCGCATCCATTCAATATTATAGATTATGAAAATTTAATTCATTTCCTCGCTCTAAGATTTTTAGGGCAATGATGATGAGTATAAAAGATTCGGATACGATCGAACACAATTTTCTTACTTTTAATCTTCCTTTTTTTTGTACTTGTGAGCGGACAAATTGGTATGGGGCTAAGGTTTCCAGTTAGTTTCGTTGTCGACCAAAGTAGCGCTCACATAAAGTATGAGGCATTGGTAGTAAAATTTAAAATTTGCTGTTACCTACGAGCTGATGCAATAATGATAATGATTCTCATTTACATTTTAAGTCCTTTACGTCAGCATGAAATTGAAAAAATCTTGCGGACGATTCAGACCATAACCGAAAAAAATAAAACGTATGGATCAGCTTCTGGGTAATAACAATAGCGGCAGGTAAAATGGTACATCAAATAGAGATTCATTCACTTCGTTGGAGGTCTCACATTCATTGTCCGAATCGTGACAATCATTATTAAAAGTCATTATTTTAGCAGGTAAGTGGTCTCAGCTATCAATTCAATGGTCGTGGGTTCAAACTTCAATAAAGCCGATAGGTTTAAGATTTTAGTCTTGGGATTTATTTCTCTGGCTAAATGGAAAAATATATGCTTTCATCTGGTTTGTGTTTGTTTCCTCACTTTTGGTGTATTTATATAACTATTTTTTTTTCCTTATTGAGAATAATATGACGTTCGAGGTAAGTGCTCGTGGAATTCTTCAATGATCTCTACTGTTACTTCCGTTTTAATAGTCACTTCGGATTGCATTTGCAGGTGAGTTGACTGCTGCAAAGCCAGGCATAAATTTAACAGAGTGGCTGCTATGACATTTAACCCATTCGGAGCGTCGTTTTTTAACGACTTTACCGTAGGCAGACCCCATGAAACGTGATGTGTGATGTGTTTTTCTCATTTTGATATTATTTGTCTTCAAAAAAATACCGTATAGAAAGCAGGTAATTTTTTAAAATTCTGCGCCGGGCTTTTGTTTATATAAATGACCTTCAAATATCTATAGTTGCCTTTATAACCGACACCGCAGGTAGTTAAGTTAGTGGCACAGAGTATGTTAAGTAGGTGCTGTCGTATCTAACACGCAGAATAGAAGGAAAGATAGACTCACCTTTGCTTAGTATGCCGGTCGATTCAGAATCATAATCTGAATTGATCTAAGCCTGTCTGTCCATGTAAATTTGTGTTCAAGCTACAGGTCGTGATTGTCGACGAAATTTGTCGTGTTTTGGTGCAATGACGAACGCTATTGAAAATGGTTCGAATAGGTCCACTTTTTCGACCACTTTACATTTAACGCCCTATTCTGAAAAGTCGTTAGTTGGAAATTAAAATCTTCGCAAGTTTTTGGCAAATGGGGCTGCACAAAATTTGGACCATCTCGGACTATTTTTTGAATCCTACCCTATGTCATGATTTCACGCGAATTGACGCTTCACTCATAAGTAACGAACCATCATGCAATGTCATGGCAATGCATATCGACGTTCCGGAAAAGTGTTTATTAATCGAAATTATTCTTCGGACGAAGTATAATTATAATAATTATAATTTAAACATGCGGAAACAAATAACGTTCATTTTTGAAAAAAAAAACAACGTCGAAAAGTTAAGGAAAACCATGTGCCATAGCAAAAGGCACAACAACGCAATAAGCATAAAATGGTCTCGACAATGCTTTATGATGATAAATTTTAGAGATTTTGGTTTTATTGACAATGCGATTCATAGGGTTAAGGAATCATTATTAAAGTAGATCAAATAATAATCTTATTCGACTCTAAAGATGTTAGGCGACGACAATGAAGGTTAAGCGTAACGTGAATGACGACCAATTTCTGTTTTAAAATTTTTATTACTTTCGTTGTTGAGACATGAAAATAATACAACTCTCGTGAACAAAAAAATGCCAGCCTACCTACATGTCCACTTGGGACCTACATATTTATTAAATTAAATTTCCGTTTCCATAACTTAAACTAAACTAAAGTATACACTGTTAGCTTTTGAAAAACACATAATGCTTACCCTTGACCTTTGAAATCATTACAGTAACAATAAAACAATAGAAAAACTCAAAACCGCTTGTCTCAGGTGTATCCTTACAGGATAACGATTGATAGAAACGACATCGTTTGCATACCGACTCGCAGTCCGATAGCTCCTTTATCGAATACGAGATTATTCAGAACAAGAAAATGAATACCTTACCGGGAGCAGCGTCTCAAGTGGCTACACTAATTGAAGCCAGACAAAATCAAAGCCAATTGGCACGATAGTTAAATTTAAGCCGATATACTTTTTGATATGCGTATAATACCGACATCAAGAGATTCGGAAAAACGTATTACAGTACAGCGTCACAGTTTTGTTGTTGTAACATCACATTACGAAATCGCCAGTTGAGTGCCACTTAACTTAAGTAGCAGCTCCTGAAGGTGAGAGGAATGAAAATCAGTCGGTGGGCGGAGACCTGACAACATGACTTCGAGAACATGCAGAGTCAACTATGGATCCATGGTAGGTAACGCTGTTCCTCGAGAGTGCAGGACATGTCTTCATGGTAATGACGGACAGGAAAGAGCCTCTCGAATACCCGGTGAGCCTTTCGCTCAATGCTGTGTCTTTGGCGGCGGTGCGTGCATGTTTTGGGGAGGAATGACAACGGAAGCGAAAACCGAACGTGTGTTCGTCACAGGGCCCAATACTGGTCATCAGTTAAGCGAATTGATTTCCAAATATTACATTGAGAAAAACATGGAAGAATACGTACGACCCTGTTTGGTATTTATCGGTGAAAATTTCGTTTTCATGCGTGATGGCGTAAGACCACGTACCGCTGCCGTAGTACGCCCATTCTTGGACAAGGTTTATATGCTGTTCGCGACGTGGCTCGAAGCCCAATTATCAATCTTGTTGAGCGTTTATGAGACAAGCTGAAAAACGAGTACGAGCCAAAAACACTGCGGCTACAGTGGGCAGGACATGCCCATTTTCAAACTTGATCTATAATCAAGAATTTTCGAATTTAATTTGCAACATTTATCCCACGCTTATGCCATTATGCCATTAACCTCAGCGAATTTCATTGAGAGGTGTTTAAGTTGAACAGTCCCCGGCGAAGAGGCGACTTTAACTCGAAAAATTATAAAATTTATATAATTTTGATTCACACGAAATCATGGAAAACTTGTCAATCAATAAAATATGCCTCGATCAGATGTTCTTAGCTTTTCAATTTTTTCTCGTGCAATCGTGCAAGAATTCAAACACTCACCGCGATCGCTGAAAAATGATTTTGAAATTTGAGAAGAAATTACAATTTCAGTGAATAGATATACGAAGAGAAAATTTTGAAATTAAATTGAAAAAAGATAAAATAAAAAATAAAAAAAATATATTTAAAAATATTTATCCAATTGGAAACAGTAGACAGTATATGCTTGTCTGTGTGAGAAGCAGCTAAAAGTAAGAAATTGAACGCAAAATTTTAAAGGAAGCTTGAATAAGATTTTCGTAGTGACACCCATAGATGAGGTGTGAGTAATATATATATATTTCAGTTAAATACCAATTTCCTGATTCTGTTCACGAAATTCATTTGCAAAATATATACTTTTCGGGAATGAGCTCGGTGGACACATTTGATTAAAAATACTTCGACGGCTTTGTTGTCAATTTTTATGCTTGCTTTTTCTTTTCCATATCCCATCTTTTGTCGCGTCATTCTCGTTTGTTTTTGTCCCGGAGTCCTCATCCATCGTTCATACTCCATTGTATCTGCACTATTTTCGTCATTTTTTTTTTCTTTCCCCATCGGTTTGTCTATCCGTCCATCTGTTATTCTGCATATTCCTCTTTCGATCCGTTCGCTTGTCTCTCCATCAACTTACATTTTCGTCCATTTCCTTTTCCCTACATTTGAATCTTCATCCATTCGTGTTTTTAACAATTTCCGTTTCCGTCCATTCGTTTGATATTCCTTCTCTTTATCTTCCCACACAATCGATCAAAGTAAAATTTCCAATTGCTTTGGTAATGTCGGTCCGTTAGCTTGTCATACTTTCATCGAGATCTAATGATTTAAAATTTTCCGAATATATTTTTCTTAACTGGCCATGGATCAATGCTTAATCGGCCTAGAATTTCATATCACATATAATGAAAATTAAAATTTATAGCAGATATACTAAGACCTCAAGGCATTTTAATGCGAATGCTTATTATAGCAATCGGATCGTTCAGGGCAAAACTGTTCTCGATCCATTGGTGCAGTCCTAATAACTGTCCTAATAAAATAATAATTTCTCCTCTTATCACTCTGTATCGTCTAAGAGCAGAAATCTCGTGAGATATGCGCGCCTACTTTTTAGCTTTGATCGGTGATTATTCACTTTAGCGATATATGTAAGTGAAGATTCAATTTTTCATCGTAGCCATGCCTACAATTTATGCAGGCAGATAAATGGAGGAGAACGCGAGAAAAACTTTACTTTATTGCTCGACTGTGTGAATATATCGGCATATTGCAATTGCAATTTCACCTGATCCACGGACATTACTTCACCGTGACGCGGTCATTAAATAATTTTCCAAACTTTTGTCCTTTTACACAGTTTGCTTGCAAAAATTTAAAAGCAAAAAAAACGAACATTTTTGAAAATGCTTTTCAACCACCATGCAACTCGAACCCATTGTAACGAATGTAACGTACACAAGATCAGGTTTAAGAAAAATGTTTTTTTTTTTTATTTTTTTTATTTGTGTACAGCAACAACAATAACAACAACAACAAAAGCAGCAAAGGCTCAGTCTCGGTTGATTAAACGTTTATGCAGCTAACAATCGAGACACAGTCGAGTGCTAGCTGTGAATGGCAAGCAAAGTGGTTTTTCTCTTTTTTTTTTTCTTGTTTCTTCTTCTTGTTTTGTTTTTTTTATATATTTTATTTATTTATTTATTTATTTTTTTTTTGGGTATTTACCACCACTAACTACTACTAACTGCTAACTGGCAGTATCCGCAGCGAAATGAAACATTTCAGACAATTCAGTTCAGTCATGTTGGAAATGCGATCGCGCCTAAGCTAAAACGCGCAATTTAGTATAAAGCGCGCGGTAAAGTTTTTATTACAAATAATCGCGAGCGAGAAAAATCATTTATAGAAGATATTTTCGTTACTAAAAAGTACGAGTGTACGCAAAAAGTCCACAATAATCACAAATAACAAAAAACGAAAATAACAACAACAACAACAACAACAACAACAACAACAACAACAGCAATAACAATAACACTGATTCTATAGGGTCAAACGGGTGAAAGGAAGAGCTTGCTTCTTCACGCAAGCTCGGTTAGGCGGAGGAGGTGGGTGGGGAGGCCATTTACTCTAGTGTTTGTGCATAAGCGGTTGCTATGTAACGTACACGAAATTCCTTGTATAGCACCAATGCGCGTTCATAAGCCTTATGTTTGTAGGTATGTTATTTGTTATATTAACCATAACAGAAAAAAAGGCTGCCGAGATAAAAATGTATATTAAATGGAAAAATTCGAGAGCAAAAACCAATTAATGAAAATTCAATTAGAATTAAAAGAAGAAGAAGAAGAAGAAGAAAAAAAGTGTTGAATTGTGTTTTAAGTGCGAACGCGCGTGTATTTATTTGGTGCACTGTGAAGCGATTTTTGCCAAAAAAAAAAAAAAAAAATTTGCAACTTTTCTTTATATAGACATGCATACGATATGTTAACGTACAGCAACAACAACAGCAACACACGTTTACTTTAAAAATTTGAAAATTCCTTGCCCAGGCACTGACAATCTTATTATTGTTGTTGTTGCTTTTCTTGCTATTGCTGTATCCATTATATCGCAAAGTCTTCGGTCGTTGGGCGGTCTGTCGATTGGTCGTTCAATCACTTCAGTGCTTTGTGCTTATTTGGCAGATTTTTGGCTTTTTTTGTTTTCGTATTTTTTTATTTTTTTTCCTTTATAAAATTGATTGGAAAAAAATGATTTTCTACATTTTCTGGTGCAATTTCGATTTTCTAATAATAACTTTGCGTCATCGATTTCGTTTTGAACAAGAACGGCAGTTAAACTAAAAAAAAAAAAAGAAGAGTGTATGGTGTATAGCAAAAGAAGGTAAGCCGTGAACGACAACTAAACTCTGTATGGTTTAATTAATTGAAATGTCCTTTTATTGCCATTGAGAAAATCCATATAAAGAGGAGCTTTTATGATGTAAAGCGTTTCATTATATTTGCTTCTAAGATATTCTATCCAAATCCATCTTCATAATATAATGCCTGGAGCTTAATCAAATCCATGCATTTAATATTTTGTCGAAAAGTTGATGCACTTTCCACGAATTCGTTGTTGTATTTGCTAAGCTGTGTCTCTATTTTATTCATTTGTTCATTCTGGGGAAAGCAACGTACTCCATACGATTTTTTTTTTTTAAAAGCAAGAGAATAAAACAGTATGGGATGTTAGACTGTCAGTGGAATCGCAATTGCTGGGCATGACGGACAAAGTGACAAGACTATTGGATACATTCTAGCCTTGTTATCGTTCACAAATGATGAGAGAAGGCAATGTGCTTTCTTCTTTTATTTCCGATTCTGTCTCAATTTTTCTACTCCGAAGGAATCACAAATCACAAGAAAAATATTTCAAAATCAATTTTGTTGTTAACTCTCGCAAATTATAAAAACGTAAGAATGCTCTGTGATGTTTCTCACAATATTGCTACATATATCAATAAGTCTAACTATTTATACACACACACACACACATACACGCACACACACTTATGCCATCTTTAGTATATATTTTTGTCGTGATAAAATTAAAGTTTTATCTCGCGACTGTTTCAGTTTTCCTCAATATCGATGACGGATACATGTCATTCTAAAATTATGATTCTGAATTATACATAATATATACGGGATGAAATTCTTATTTTAGGATTTCTATTAAAAACAAAATAAACGAAATAGAAACAAAACAAATAAAAGAAAATAAACAATGGTAGATATCTTCAATTCCAGGTAGATGCGCCGCAAATCAGAGTCCAGGAGAAGGGTATTACCACCAAGGGAGGGCATTTTACAGTTAGCCCTCATTTGCCAACGAATACATTTTTAGCGAAAGCAAAGAAATAGATGCCCAGGCAAATAGATTACCCAAGTGTGTTGTGATCAAATAGGCCGCTCGTAGAGCAGCTTATTGTAAGCAGTCCTTGAGTGCAATGTGGTGCACTCCCTTATGGAGTGATGGTAAATAGCTGGTGCGCCAGCCAGGCTGATTAATTTCATATAAATTATTGATGTTCGGCAACGTTGTAGACAAATTTCTAGAATACATTTGAATTGCAGTGCTCTACTCAAATGAAATGGGCGTTGACGCGAATTGTCGTTTAAAACGGAAAATCGCAGGTCTTTCATAACTGCATTTGCCAAAGCTTCGTTCCACATTCAAACATTAAAGCAATGTAATGTAATGTCCAAAGTTGATCCGAAACTACAATTTGTCTTGCGTTCACTATTTATGTTCAATCCACGGTGCAACAATAGCTTGTGTAATTGTCGTAGCAGTAACATAGCTCGCTTAACCACTCAACTAAACTAAATGTACACTTTGTCGAGATTCCACTGTGCGATGAGAGCTGAATTTTCGCTCGTTTACGATCGGGACGATTTTCACTACAAACATAGTTCAGGTAGGCGGACGAACGGGCCGCTGGAAATGGCTAGATTGGTGCAGATTCTGGCCAAAAATGTTTATATATTCTTACATAACGAAAATAAACTCTCCATTCTGTCTCCATTATCGGTACGAAGAGGAGTCGGCTGATCGGTTGCCTGTTGATGAAACTGTCATGGCTATAAAAATTAAGACACGACGTCTGAAGTTTGAGAGTGACAGGCTCATGCCTGCAACTGAAAGTAGGGTAAAATAAAAAAAACACAAGTTCTGAAAGCGTACGTGGATACAAAATTTGGTAAAAGTACTTTATAGGACCATTTAAAAAGTCGTTATTGATCTCTTCGCAAATAACGAAGGACTTTTGAGATTGTTAAGCCAGTAAGAGTTCAATATGCATTCATTTATCTCGTATCGTATCAGCTCATTAGTATTCGTTCACCTTTTGGAACGATGGGAATGTAGGCTCCTGATGTTCCTCCTTGCGTATAGGATGCGAACGTTTCTTGATATTTTCTTCCCGAGTTTATCATAGTTTTGCTCAATTTTTACTTCAACGGGATTCAATCAATTTTCAATGAGTTTAAGATTGAGACATCGTTGTAAGTCATTTCTGCCCAATGTTTTGGATCGGTTCAGTGCATAAAATCGCCATTTATTGGTTATCTGGTATGAAGTCTGAAAGTGTGTAAAATATCGCCATTGGGACTTTTCTATTTACTCTATATCCTCTTCTAATGAGCCCCACTTGATCTCAAGAAAAAGTTCTCTAGGCTGTTAATTCATTTCTATCTTGTAGCTCCATAACACACTCTTTCAGAAAGGTACGTGGCCATTGATATGGCCTATGGCAAGCTATAAAGACATACGGATAACCAGTTATGATAGATGACACGTATTTTATTTTATTCGCCCCAAAGCTATGTATATGTACACCTGTGGTCTATGATAAATTTTTCTTTAATTTCCTTTGCGATTCCCATAGAGGACATAAGTGGATCAAATTTGCTTTTGCAGATAATGATTTTGGCAGTAGAAAGTGTAGTCTAGATTTCGACTGGAATGTTTTCTTTCTTCAGCGTTTTAATAATGTGTCTGCATTAGTCACACTTTTTCCTTTTTGCCCTAGAAATTAGAAAATGTCCTATGACCTATATTCACCTATATCACCTGAATCTATATAAAAGTACCTGTCGATTAAACAAAAAAACTATCTATTACTATGAACTGTACTATACTATACTACTACTATACTATACTATTTTATACTGTACTGTACTATACTATACTACTGTACTATACTATACTACTGTTCTATACTATACTAGTACTATACTATACTATTTTATACTGTACCGTACTATACTATACTACTGTACTATACTATACTACTACTATACTATACTATACTATTTTATACTATACTATACTATACTATAGAACTATATATATAGTACTGTACTTTACTGCACTAGTACTAGTACTATACTATACTATACTCACACCCAATTTTCGCTAACATACCAAGTTTCAAAATATCGTTAAAAATTGTTCCCGAAAGAAAAGTTCGATTTTTTTTTTTGTTTATTTGACAGGTACTTTTATATAGATTCACGTGATATAGGTGAATATAGGTGATTTTTTCTAGTTTGGCCGCACTAGAGTCTCAAATTTGGGTGTCCTTTCATACGCATTTTTCCCTAAAATACCAAATTTTAAAAAATTATTAAAAATAGTGCCCATAGGCAGAATTTGAATTTGTTTAGTTTGTTTGAAAGGCATTTTCACGTAAATATCCGCAAAAATGTCTTACGTTGCTTAATATAGACGGAGTAGGCTTTCAAATCCAACTATATCTTAATTTGAATTATTTAACAGAGCTCGGGTAAGACGTTAACAGAGTTCTGTGTTAACAGATATGGTAGGGGTCTTTGTTAGTTAAATTCGAATTTTTCCTCATACCCCTTATCGTTTCAACCACTCTTTCTGCTCTTTCACACTTAATTTGGTTGATGTGAAATTGAACTTTTTACTCACAGAAATAGTTTATTAAAATCATTAAAACCGCGTGTAATAAATGATCGGAAATGCCATGAAATGTTGACAATGAGTTGATCGATGGTTCGTGTTTTCTAAAAATAATGAGGAATTTTTGTTAGAGATGGCACTTATGCATTGAGTCCCCGGGCCTATTATTAATTTTGAAGTAAGTTTCGTCTCATGTTTTCATTTTCGCATGCTTGGAATGCGCGGGGGTATATATGAAAAAAAGGGAAAGAAAAACGAAAAGAAATTTTGAAATTCGACAAAGGAAAATTTCGCAAGAATACCTGGACTATAGCAGCAAAGCATTATCTTAGAGAATGCATCTGATTTCATAGTCTAAATATACACGATTTGTCTTGACGCATATATGTACATGTACGTAATTGCGTAATGTTTGAATAGACATGAATAGAGTTTACCAAGCACTGGCTTAATGAAAAATTAAAAAACAAATAATAATAATAATAATAATCATAATAATAACGATATTTATGGTCAAGTTTTTAATAACATCTCTATATATATATAGATAAAATATATATGTATATATGCGTGCATAAGCAAGGAAAGATTATATAAACTTCAACAAAAAGTTTTAAAAGAAATTAACAAAAAGTATACGAACTTTTGTACATATATATCTACATACATATGTATAGCTTTAAAGAAGCTGTAAAGATATTTTATAGGTAAAAAAAAAAAAAAACAAAAAATTCTAAAATTCTTTTTCCATACATATATGCGTTTTTCATTTTCATAACTATCACGAGCGCGCAAGCATAAGATGTATTTTTTAAAGGGAGGCAATTCGCATACAGTCTATTAAAACTGAATAATAATAACAACAACAATAACAATAATAACGGCAACAAAATGATAGCAGCTAAAAAACTAAACTGAACATCAATGAACTTAAAATATCAACAACAATGAGAACGAAGAGGAGATGATGATGATGATGATGATGATGATGATGATGATGATGATGATGACGATGGCTTGAAAGCATTGGCTTTTAGAAAACAATAACAACTGTAACAGAACAAGAACGACAAGATACGAAAATCTGAGCATAACATTATGTATATATATACACATATATAAATATATATACATATGTTTATATATGTATATGTTCGTATCGTTGTGTGTGCGTGGATAAGTATATACATAATAAGTATAATTGAAATTCCTTAACGCTGGTTTTTTAACTTGTTTCGTAAAGCAAGTTTGAGATCGGTTACAGTAGACATGGATATATGTATGTGTGTTTATATTTATGCACATATTAATGTTTACTTAGAACAAGATTCTTTATACTCTCCGAAAGTGTTTGAGGTTCTCTCAAACTCATACTTGCCTGGTGCGGTTTTTCATTTCAATTTTATAAT